TGCAGGGGCCGGGGGCTGGGCCCGGTTGCTGAGTGAGTGTAGGGTTGCCAGGCGTCTGGTGTTTTTGCCTCCTGGCACGGAAAAAAAATCAGAAAATACAGGACATTTTAGGTGTCTGGTATTTTCTGAATTTTTTTTACCGGTCAGGAGGCCAAAATACCGGCCTGTCCAGGTCAATACCAGACACCTGGCAAGCCTACATCATGTCAGGGGACAGGTTGGTTTGTCTCCTCAGGGAGTGATGCAGGGACCAACAGACACGCGTCTCTGCTGTCGTCACTGCCTGGGGACAGGACTGACCATGGCAAAGACCGGGCAGGGATGCGCTTCCCTCAGAGTAGCAGACACCGTTGCAGGCCAGACGCTGTGCGTTCCGGAGATGCTGAGCAAAGTCACTGATGGGGGCGGGTGTGTCAGGCTCAGGCCTGGGCATCAGAGTGGTCCTAGCGCTGTGTAGAGGCCTCAGATGAGCACGGGAGGAACGGCCCCTGAGGGAGACGGTATCAGCTGGCCGAGCGGCGCACTCCCAGGGTGAATTCTCTTGAGACGCTGGAGAGAATTCATGATGTTCAGGACAGGGGGGGCCACGCGCCCCCCCCGGGCAATCGCAGGCTGGGCAGCCCTAGCAGACCACACATGGCATGTGAGTCTTGGAAAGGCCCCAGAATGGGAGTCTCCCCCCTGCTTTGCCCAGCACCGGGCGCTCTCGGCTAGAGCCGGTGCCCAGTTCTGGGTCACGCCTTAGGAAAGACGTGGAGACACGGGGGAGAGGCAAGAGGGTGAGAAAACCTGACCTGTAAGATTAGCCACTAAGCCCGTGGGGCCCACGCCCAGGGCCCCAGGCGGTTGGGAGGCACTGGAAAAATGGGTGTTCACCCGCCCCAACTTGTTCCGTCTGCCCAACCCTTCTGCTGGGAAGTGGGAAGGCCCTGCACCCCGATCCTACTTCCCTAGCAGGAGTGCTGGGGGCCGTGGGGGCTGCTGGTGGGAGGGGTGGAGAGGGGCCCCTCTGGCTCTGGCCCGC